ATTTCCTTGATAAGTAGTTAGTTACCATGTTTTCATATACTTAGTGCTCTTTGTATTTGTTGTGTGGCTTTTCCTTGTGTTAATAGCCTCTGACAGTTTTTCTACTGGATTTGTTTCCTTTACCACCTTGGAGTACTGTTTTATTTATATATATTTTAATGTTTATTCACTTTTGCGAGAGAGAGAGAGAGAAAGCACGAGCAGGGGAGGCACAGAGAGAGAGGGAGACACAAAATTTGAAGCAGGCTCCAGGCCCTGAGCTGTCAGCACAGAGCCCGACACGGGGCTCAAACCCACGGACCTTGAGATCATGATGTGAGCCAAAGTCAGACACTTAACCGGTTGAGCAACCCAGGTGACCCTGGAGTACTATTTTCATATTACATACTATTTTCATATATATATATATATATATATACATATACACACACACACATACACACACATATTGTATATTTTGCATATATAAAAATATTACTATTTTATAAGCACATTGGTACATTTTTATACAGTTTAATAGGATTTGTCATTGTATGTTTTCTATTTCCTCAGAATATCTTTTGTCCAAAATTATACAACTATTTAAATATTTCTTGACATCTTTATTACATTTGGAGACTTATTTATGAAGACAGTTGAACTAATTGCTTCTAGATACACAGTCATTTTTCCTTATTATACTTTGGACCCCCCCTTTTTTGCCCCCCTCCCCTTATTTAAGTTATGCGCTTTTGCAGAGAATGTTAGCTCAGATCTTAGAATGATGACATCATTCATCATAACATCATGCCTCTACGTCCCCTCCTTTCTTTTGACGGAGTACCATTTTTTCCCTTGTATCTACAGCCATACTCTTTTTCAACAATGTTCTCAAACAGTCTTCTAACATATTTCTTTAATCAAAATCTCATCCTTTTTTTAGCAACCAGTGCTAAGTGTTCCCCCCCCCCCCGCTTTTGTGATCCATTTGTAACATACACGGGTTGACCACATTAACACTGATGAATCAAACCCTAGGGGAGTGATGTGGTTGTGTACAGAACTTTCTCCACGATGAGGTCTTTTTCCGTTTCCTTAAATGTGCATGCACGTGTGGAAGGCTGGGGACGTAGTTGTCGAAGATCAAAGATGGGGCTGCCTGGGTTTGAATTTTGGCTCTAGCTCTCATTAGCCTTATAACAGGCTCCTTACTTAGCTTCTCTAGTAACATTTATGTTAGCTGGAAGCTTTCAACTGTGCTTGCTGTGTACCAGGATTTTCTAAGTGCTTTACATCGATTAACTCATCATCTCCACAACTGCTCTAGGGTAGCTTCATTTTACATGTGAGGAAATGAAGCTCAGACAAGCTCAGTCATTGGGACAAGCTAGGAAATAGTGGGCCAGGCATAATAGGAAGTTGGTAATCAGTGTTTCTTTCCTCCTTCTTTTTCACTCGTCTTCTCCTGCCTCCCTGTCTCCCCCTTTTCCTACCACCTTTCCCCCTTCTGCCCCACCCTGTTCTTTTTACCCCTCTCCATGCCCCTCCGCCTTCTCCTCTGTCTTATATTCTTATCAACATCTCTGTACTTGGCGCTCACACATCATGTTTAGGGATGTTTTCTAAATATATCAGACTCCCTGTTGATTATTACATGTGATGGATCTTTAGCTCATTAATTAATCTCTGCTCCTTTTGAACTCTGTATTTTGTTATTAGTGAGTGGCCAAGCACGATAAGACTTAAACGTAAAAATCAAAGGAGGCTGCACCATTTATGGAGCGTTCGGAACACCTTTTAGTACCAGCCGGCCAGTGCCAGTGGAGGGAGGATCCCAGGATGAGGTGTACCGGTCTGATCGATGACAACAGTGAACAGAGGTGTGGTCAGTGGAGAGAGAATTCCGTCTACCTTTAGTCAGTTGCTTGAGCAGTCAGTCCCCAGAGAGTTGTGAAAATAATCTTCCCGTGTAAACTGTCTTTTATAGCATGACATCATGCTTCGACATCGGTGAAGTGTCATCCCCAGTGTTTCTTCAGAATGCCGAAGCACCATGGCAACCAGTGCCTCAGAAATGTGAGGTGGGCTTTTAATTGCTTGTGTCCAAAAGCACATTTCAGGAAGTTTCAAAAACTACAGTATTCTGAGGAAAGTTTACAATTACTGCAGTCATCTCAGCATGTATACCAGGTGTATTTTGGGCATGAGCCTTCTTAGAAATAAGAATCTTTGTTCATTTTTAAAGCATGCATGTTGTTGTAGAGAAAATTATATTAAAAGTTAATCAAAGTTTGTCATCCTTTATCAATGTAAGTTTGTTGTCCTGTTAATATTTTATATGAAAATATAAGTAAATCTGTATGATTGCTTTCCTTCATGATTTACAGTGTACAATAAAAAGAGATCTAATTGTCTTTAAAATTCTATATCCTAAGGGGAGAGAGATTCAGCTGCCTGTGTGTATCAGTTTTTATTTTTCATTTTTATTATTGTCAAAATCAATATGATATTTGGAAACTGGCAAATTGATTCTAGATATCTGAGGGACTAAAATTTGTAGAGCCATATAAGTCAGTCTTGTGGCTTGTAAACACTTCTCACAGTTTTGGAGGCTGGGAAGTCAAGGTCAAGGTTTAGCATATGATGAGTTCTACTCCCTTGTTCATAGATGGCTGTCTTCTTACTGTGTCCTCATATGGTGGAAGGGACAAGAGAGCTGGGGTTTCTTGTACAAGGGCACTAATCCCATTCACATGGGCATCACCGTTCTGAGCGAATCACCTCCTAAAGGCCTCACTACCCTGTAGCATCATCGCATTAAGGGTTAAGACTTCAACATATACATTTCAGAGGTACACAAACATTCAGAACTTAGCAAGCACTTAAAACAATCTGTGACCTGTATGAGCTTTGTTGTATGAGTTATTGAATGTTGGCTGATGGAGGCATTTTAAAGAAAGTTTAAAAAATCAGTGAGTTTTTGCAACAGGAAAAACAATGAAGAAAGAGGAAATGGGCTATTTTTAGTCTTCATATGGGTAGGGTGCAATGTATTTACCTAAATATGTCTAAAATGAAGTTGAAAGTAATGGATGTGGTGGCATACACGTTTTGAGGAGACCAGTTTACAGGAAAATGTTGAAACCAGGCAAGTGACTGAAAACTTAGGTACTTTCCAATTCTGCCTTATTCTGAAATAAACTATTGTCTTTTCTGTATGCTTGATGTTCAGTGAATATGTCCGGAATCATTTAATGTAATAGTTTTATTAAATACCCCAAATTTTAATAGTTAACCATCGTTGGTTAACAAGAACAAAAAGGAAACAAAATCCAGCACTTTACGCAGTACAGACCAGTGTGGTAGAACATTCTTACTGTTTGTCTAGGAAGACATATAACTCCGAGAAGACTTAACACAGATTAGTAAGATGAAGTTAGACCTAAGAAGTCCTATTTCCAATTCCGTTAAAACCTTGAAAAAAAATTGTTTGAAAGAACAAGGTTAGTATTGGGTTTTTCATGTTCATCTTTATTAATTTTTAATTTTTTAATGTGTATTTATTTTTTAATGTGTATTTGTTTGCACACGAGCAGGAGACAGACACAGAATCCCTGAGCTGTCAGCACAGAGCCCAACACGGGGCTCAAACCCACAAACCATGAGATCATGACCTGAGGGGAAGTTGGATGCTTAACCAACTGAGTCCCCCAGGCGCCCCTCAGCTTTATTCATTTCATCCTGAGGGCATACACAAGGTGTTCTGCGTCTAGTTTCGTTTTACCTCTGTCCCCAAAGCTCTAATTCTTACACCTTGGCCCTGCAGTGATGGCCAGGTCCATTGTCCTGTGCTTGTAGCTGCACACCATGGGTGAAAGAGGAGGAAATAGGATTTTCCCCCTTAATTTATTAAGTGGGTTGTGGCAGGTTACTTCCCCCTTTTGCAAGAGTCTCTGTGGAAATTTGATGACCCTGAATCCTAAGCCCCACCCCACCGGTATGTCAGTAAAATCTCTCCGGGAGCCTCTGTCTTGGCTTTTATGACTTAAAGATGTCTCCAGGTCCTGGGGCTTCAACTCTTTTGACATGTAATACTTAGCGAAATGACACTTTAGTCTCCATTTAGCCAGAGATCTAGTCCATGATATAGCGACTTGGCCCTCTTGAAAAGACACACGGAAGTTTTATTATTCTTTTGAATCAGAACAGTTAGATAAATGTCGGCACATCTAATTCTCATGGTGTGTGAAAAGAAGAATATATCTGTAGGATGAAAGTAAACATTCCCTTCTTTACATTATATATATTTTAGAGACTCAGGAGGCTAGGGCTTTTTGTTAGAGCACTGCTAAATCCAAGGAAGCTTAATTTTTCCACACCAGGAAGAAATTCTACCAGGTCATGTGAATGTTTTATGTAAAGTAAACGATGGCAATGTATGTAGAGTGAGGTAGGCTTTCTGGATGAATTCTGAAAAAATGTAAATGGTAGAGAAGAGAAATAAGATACTCATGATGTAATTAAAAACTTTTACTTTGGGGAATTCTCTCCCTCTGTCTAGTAACTGACTTGTGTAGTATTTCAAACTTGTCTGGAAGCCTCCTGTTCCTAGAAATGTGTCCATAGGATATTTGGAAAATGTGTCTGAACTGATTCCGGCTCTAAAGGGAATGCCTAATCCTCTTCCTCGTCTGTTTAAATTTGTTGAAGTTGTGGACTTGTGTGAGGGCACAATAATGTAAAAGTTTGTATATACGTAGAAAGTAATATATAAAGATGGGGTCGTGATGTTAGGGTTTTTGAACTGGGACTTTTTCAAACCAATAATCTTCTTTAATCTCTATTTTTTAAAGCAGGATAAATATTGACTGATAGTGTGACTAAGTTGATGAATTATGTAGAGTTACTCTTAAACATACCATATAGAAACCAAGAGCGTAAGACATCCTATTTGCGTAGTTTTTCAAGGATAACCAAAAGTAGTCTTAATTAGTTGACTTACTTGGAACTCTTTCTTTCAGCTTTTTGCCTGAATTCATCAGTGGAGACTTTGATTCTATTAGGCCTGAAGTTAAAGAATATTATGCTGTTAAGGTAAACTATAAACTCTTTTTATATTTAAGATCTCTTATGATTGCTTTTCCTGTGTTCTTTCTGATGTCCTTGACGTATGCATAGGGGTTTACAAACTGGTTATTAAAAAAAAATATATAGGGGGGTGGGAGGGAGGAGAGGGTGGGTGATGGGTATTGAGGAGGGCACCTTTTGGGATGAGCACTGGGTGTTGTATGGAAACCAATTTGACAATAAATTTCATATATAAATAAAAAATATATATATATAGCAATTGTAATGCACATTTAAATAGAAATTTAGAAATGACAAGTGGAAACCCAGTCTTAGAAATTCTGTCACCATCAGATGATCGTGAATGCTTAGTCCTTTAAGCATATATATTTTAAATGAGTTTATCGTTTATGTAGGCTCATTTAATAATAGGCTCATTTAATACTCTTGCCTACAACCTCATTAGTTAATAATATTTCTCACAAATCATTTTTAATTTCCTTTAATGAGTCCACTGTATTTAATTTAACCAATTCTCAATTTATTTATATTTAAGTTTGGAGTCCACTATATTTAATTTAACCAATTCCCAATTTGTATATATTTAAGTTTTATCCATTTTTTTGCATTGTAAACTAATAAAAACATCCTTGCAAACTGAATTTTCATAAAAATGCATAATTACATGTCCCAGAATTTGAGAACCATAGTTTTTTTCTGTAATATTTAGTTTTCTTGAAACTATTATTACTCTGTTCTGAATGAAACTATTCATTACAGCTTGAAATTAATAATGACATACAGCTTATTAACATGTTTATGTTATCATTCCTATTGTGCAAATATTCCAGAGATCCTTGTCCCTTATAAATGATCTAACTGAAAATGAAAGAAGACACGTAGGAGTGTATTGCAGTAATTGATCATTTGAACTTTCGCTGGTTTTAGAGGACATCGCAGAGTTTTTAAAATAAAAATTATAGCCTCAGCAATTCTTGCCGCACACCGCCATCTGTGTTATTCTGAACTTGCATTAGCAAGTCATACGTGTTTGTAAAAAAACAGCAGTTACCAACACAAAAATTTAAATTCTTTATGAGGCTTGGGGACGGATGAGATCAATTCAGAAAGAAGGGAGGAAACCTGTCATAGGAAGGAAAGAAATAAAGAGGGAGGGAAGGAAGGAAAGAAGGGGAAAAAGAAAACACTTGATTGCAGATCGGGACACAAAGGTCACCAGGTTATAATGCGTTCGCCGTGGTGATAGGGAATTTCTGGGGCCTGCTGCGAATGCGGGTCTGTGCTTGTTCCCTCTGCCCACCAGCTGATCAGACTCTCTATCAGCAAATGAAGACTGTTCCCAAGTCAGCGTTTGATATTCATGCTCAATTACTTTAACATTGGCATCTTTCTGTTCGTTCCCCAGTCTCACTTCTCATTAACTCCATACCTCACCCTCGTTGGGATGGACAGCCCTCAGCCTTGCTTACAATGCAGAGTGTTATAAATTCATAGACGTTAATCATATTTTTGGAAGCAGAAGAAACAGCAGGAGAGGCAGGGACAAACAGACTTAGAAACACGTTGAAGATCTGGCCAGATGTGACTTTCCTCCTCCTCTCTGAAATGCTGCTGGCTTGCAACAACTGGAAATGTCCATCTGATGATTCCTATCCAGGATGGGGGAAGTAACAGGAAATAAGAGGAAGCCAGCCTCTTAATTTCTTACTGCAGTCAAGCATAAAGGAAAGTTTTGACTTCTTACTATTTGATGAATTTCTCTTATATTTCCTACTTCATTTTTTTTAACTTCAAAGCTAATTTATATGTGTTAAGATATTTTTAAAGTAAGCGTAGCTCATTTTCTAATTCCTTCATTGCGTAGTTAACAAACTGGTTTAGTACAATCCAGTTTTTTCAAGTATATATGGGAACTCAGTTCTGATCTGTTCCCAGAGGGTCCCAGTGATGTTTTTTATGTAGCTAATGTGCCCTGTACAACACATGGTGAGTGTTTAGCTACAGCGTTAATAATGATGCTAATGACAACAAGTTAATGCAGTGTCTCGCGATTCATATAAGCCATTATCTCCAATTTAAGCAGTATTGAAGCTGCTCTTTTACAAACAAAAGAAGGTTATCTCTGCTTTCAAACACACTCCTCCCACCCCACCTGATCTGGGTTTTCAGTGCAGCTGAAACTGGGGCTCTAGTAAAGAAAGTAAAAAAAAGAAATTTAGAACGCTAAAGGTTTGTTAAAATTTTAAAGTGCGTTTTGTAGCCAACATTTACTCACACAATTTTCCCCCAGTAGATATGTCTTTGACGTATCGAAAAACCCAACGTTACATGATTATATAAAACTTGAAATTGGTCTGCCTGCTTTATTTCCGAGAACCTAAAATATAAAGTATTTGATTTGTCAGCTTTTAAATAATATATCCCACATCTTGCCGTCTTTATCAGTTGTCTGTTGTGGAATAAATTATCCTAACATTTAGCAGTTAAGAACAGCAAACTGTTTTTATCTCCCATACTTCCTCCAGGTGAGGAATATAATATGGAAGTCAGTTAACTTGGTGCTTCTGGCTCAAGGTTTCTCATGAGCTGGGTTTTTCAGTCATCTCAAGGCTCCACTGGGGCTACAGAATTCTCCTTTAAGATTACTCATGTGGTTGTGGACTGGTCTCATGGGCTATTATTTGTCACTGGTTCTTGATTGGAGGAGTCAGTTCTTTGCCGCTGGGCTGCTCACACCATGGCAAGGAGAAGGGAAGGACAAACAAGACAGCCAGCCCAGGACAGAAGTAGCTATCTTTTTTATGACCGAACTTCAGCAGTGATTCACCATCTTACCATCTCTTCTGCCAGGTGCCGTTAGTCACACAGACCACCTCTGGTACAATGTAGGATCAGATTCCACAAGGTTGTCAACACCAGATGGCAGGAATCCTTGGTAGCCATCTTGGAGGCTGATTACCGCACCATCTTACTGACTTTGTTCTGGCAAAGCCTGAGTGTTAGGCAGTGGCAAAGTTGTTTTCGTGATGTCATAATACATTCTTGGTCTTTATATATAAGAAGGAAGAAGAAGACTTAGCCTTTTAGAATTCGCTGTTTGATTCTTTACATGCATAACCTGCTTCAAGCAGAGTTACATTCAACAACCAAAACACTAGTCTTTATGTTCATAGCCCTTAATTATTTATTCCTTTGGGATTTAGACAAGTTGGAGGCAAGCTCTGGTCCATCACTTAATTCCATATGGCCCATAGGAATGCATAGGGTAGGCCTATCTTAATTTATTCCATAAAACTTTCCTTTTCAAATAGAGCTATAAAATCTTTGTGTTTCTCTGTGTTGGCTCAGTTCTTCCTTGCATGGTTCATGAATATTAGCTCAGAATGAGGAATGTCTCTTACAGATTTTCCCCTTGATATTTTTATGTTTATTTATTACTTTCTGACTCAGTCAGTGTGCCTTGACTGAAGGCTAGAATCACCTATTTCAACCTTCTTAATTATCCAGTCAGTCATGCCCACATTTATTTCAGTTTCTTGAGAACTTTTGAAGAAGCTGTTATCTCCTGTAACTCCCTAGACGCTTTGATTGACGTATAGTCTATGGTGTCTTCACTAGATATAGGAAGGAGGATTTTTAAGGATGCCTCCTTCGTATCAGGAGATTAAAGAACTGGTTGCTGTATTTTAAATGCCTTAAAAATCCAAAGAATAACAAGGTTTTTTCAGATATGTAGGTGTGTAGGATAGAAGTAAATATATGGTAAATATAATGATAAAATTGCACAATAATTAGGGGTGCCTAAATTATTAGGCTCAGTCGTTTAAGCATCTGACTTCGGCTCAGGTCATGATCTCGCGGTTCATGTGTTCCAGCCCCGCATCAAGTTCTGTGCTGACAGCTCAGAGCCTGGAGCCTGCTTCAAATTCTGTCTCCCTGTCTATGTCTCTGTCTCTGTCTCTGTCTCTGTCTCTGTCTCTCTCTCTCTGCCCCTCTCCTACTCACACACTCGTTCTCTCTCAAAAATAAATAAACATTAAAAAAATTTAAACACAATAAAAAATTAAGCAATGTTATGTAGCTCAGTTTCCTGATGAAAAAACAGGCCCATAAAGTTTAAATGACTCAAAAGAAAATGGTAGAGCTAGTCAGAGGCACCACTTGGGTCAATATCCATGTTTTCTATAAAAAACTGGGACTCAGCTAATACTACTGGTTTTCAACACACTGTATCTTTGGCCTGTTGGGCAAGTTGGTTGCACAAGGTATTTAGTATCCATGGGAATGAATGCCAGTGTCACCGTCAAAGTGGTAACAGTCAGTGTGTTCACATTTCTATCTTGTCACTCACTCCTACCCTCAACTCTGAGGTGGCAGTAGTTGGGCCAGACCAAGAATGACCAAACAAACTGATCAATTATTAAGTTACATAAAAGCCCCTAATAGGCCCTAGGATTGAGCCAAGATAGAACATTGAAGAACCAAATCAATTTGGTAATAGAAAATTAGCAAGGGCATGGGTAGCCTCTAAGTCTATGAATGTCTTCCTTTGTGCTACAAATGAGTATTTTGGCATTCCAGAAAGTGTTGCTATAAACAGAAGACCATGTTTCAGACCGTGTGGTGAAAATGACTCTAGTTGTAGTCAGGAATAGGACTCTAGATTCAAGTTCTGGTTTTATCTTCTCTGTTAATCCTTGCAAGTCCCGGAATAACACAATATGGTATCAAACAGTGATCAGAAATACACAACATCGTGTGGGTCTACTGGTAAAACCACAGTAGAACTTGATTGAAAAGATACCCTGGTGTATATGATGAAGTGAGACTAACAGGAAGGTTGAGTTGATGCTAAAACACCAATTTGCTATTACAGACATAACAAGATTATTCTAGGCTACCAGTCTATTATTCTAGACTATTCTGAATGTACCAGAACTGTAAATTCAGGAGCAGAGATAGAGATCCAGACATACGGTCTCCTTGGCTTTCATTATATCTTCCTC